ATACAGAAGTATGTGATAATTAAACAGTATCAAAATTAACACATTATGCCTCCTGTTTGACACAAATATTATTTTGACATCTCTGACTTGCCAAATTTTTAAACCAATTTTATTTTTACTTTCATAATCTTATATTCAATTGCTTGTAATTTCAACTGTCTTGAGTGTTTATAGAAATGGTTTTTACCAGCTTGTAGCCAAGATTCTGACGTTTATGTAGAAACCAAACTTGCATATATTGAACTAAAGGATCTTAGAGTAATTAAAGTAGAAAACCGGGGGTTTGGGCCTGAGAGGTGAATGAACCAATTGGTGGGCCGGACTTTGGTCACTTGCGGGCTGGATGTGGCCCGTGGGCCGCCAGTTGAATAGCCCTGCAATATGGACTGAAAGTAATTAAAGAAACAGGACAGGGTCTTATTTTCAGTTCATGAAATAGTGCTTACTTGTATAGTGGTGAGGCCAATATCCCGTCCAATTAGGATGTGTCCATCTACTACTCTGGCAATGTGGGGATCATTTACCTGCAGAGCAGGAAAAAACAAAATATTAGTCAGAAAAAATGTTTCAACAAATGCTGCATTGAATGAACCAATTAGAAGCACTAATAATCACTTTCATTGCATGCTTTATTCATGAAAAAAATATTTTAATACCTACCTTTAACTGCTCTGAGACCAAAGGAGTGATGTCAGCTTGCCAGTCAGGACCCAACATGTAGACCATCTCTTTTTCAGGGTCTGACGGCTCGGTGACAAAATAGGTGAGGACTCGCACCAAAGCATGCTGGTACTGAAAGGTAAAGAAGATGTTRAGGTTTAGATGTTACCAAAGTAAAAAACAAATTTTAGAGCTTGCAACTTCCTTTGCATTTGTTTTAATGTGTCATTTAAATGGTATTAAAGTAGGAAGAGGCAGATTTGTAACATGATGAATTTTGCATCATTTCTGGGCTTGTGCAAAAAATCTCCAACACAATGAGAAACTCAACAGAAATCCCATAAAGCTCGACTCTTACATTAGGTAAACACAAGCTAAAATAATGTGCAGTGTGACGGCTCTCTTATGATTGTTTATTTAGGAATCATGATCATTAAAAATGAATATAAAATAGTTTTAAAACTATAATATGAATCCAGTCAAGTGGTACCTGTAGAGTGCAGCCTTTGCCCTTTCTGTCATCATCTTCATCATCCTCACTGTCTCTGGTGGGTCTGGGAAAACAAGAAATAGTTCAAATTTGTGGGGTTGAGGGTGATTTTATCTTGCTATTAACAGTCGCTGTTGAAATTCCTCAAAGTCTGTTGACATTTTTTTATTTTTTGTAAGGGTGTCAAGCTAAAAGTAAGAACCGGAGAATGTCGTCTGACACCCTGATTTTCAAAATAAAAGGCCCCAGTAGCGTTTGGACACGTGGAAAAGTTCAAAAGCAGAAATCGCACCARTTGTGCCCACCAGTGGAACAAAGACTGTTAAGGGGTGCCTATGACATTCAATCTTTGGAATAAATATGAACATTTAAAATAATAACATTAATTACATATTGCAAAAATTTACAATGAGAATTCACACTGTTGAGATGAACAYCTGTTGAAATATTTGTGCAGCAACAGGAAGTAATGAAGAAGGGGAATGTCTTAAAGTAAAGAGAATTTCTAGAATGTCAGACATCACAGACTAGAAAATAATCGGATGTTTCTTTAAATTACTTTGCGTCATTATCAGAGAAAAGAAGAAGAGTCAGAGTTCAGATAATATCGTTTCAATAAAGACCAGGGACTTCCTTTTCTTGATGTCATTTCCTGTTTCATTGTGGCTAAGTGCAAAAGAAAATATTCCAATTATGTGACACAATGGGTAAAATCATGTGCATTAAATATAAAGAGGATTTTTTGATATATGCACGCCACGTGAGGCACTTTGAAAACATTCGAACAGAGTACAAAACATGTAGTGAGCCAAAACAGCTGTGTCAAAGCCTGATAATTCTCTGAATGTTCTGTTAGTGTTAACACTCATCCATCTTGCTTCCTTGCAATTCTTTCTCTGTCTGGTAAGCACAAATAAATAACCAGTTTGGGTTCTCTGCCCCACTCTGGGAAATATCTATCCAAAACCCACAAGACCTCTATGTGTTCTAACTGTCCCTGCACCCATGTAACCCAGGTAATCTGGCAGAAATTCTCTTTCCATTTCCTGGAGACCTTGTCACACACGTGTCTGTTGGTGCAAGTGTGTGCCTAAAAGTTCTTGTGTTTTTTACTGAGAGATTGTAGTTGAGGGAGATGGACACATGTTTGTGTGTGTGGAATATGTGTTTGTAAGACTGTGCACATTGGTTGGTAGCTAACAGAATTTGGCAAAATTGGAAAAAGAMGTGCAGCAGAGCAGAATAAAAAAATGGGAGGAAGGGGGATCAAAGTAGAATACAAATGTTGATGCGCAAACACAAAATAACAAGTACGTCTGAAAAACTAAACYTATAACTAAATTTGTGACATGAAAAATACAGGGACCATTTTGACTGATTGTGATGTAAGGGTTAGGGTTAGTATCTGACAGGCACATGTGTCCTTTATTTAAATTTCAACGTCAGAAACACAATCCTATCAGGACAGAAGATTGAAGGTAAAGCATTTCAGTCAGAATATTTCAGTTTGGCAGCATTTAGTTTCTTCTTCAAAAGAGTTGGAGACTTTAATGGTTCTTAAAGATTCATCATTTATATTCAGTGAATTACCTAATACTGGTCTCCAAAAACACAGAATTTAGGAATTCATTAGAAAGAGATTATCATACTTGGAAGAAAAGAAAATCACAACATAAAAAAACAGTTTTCATAGATAAAGTATGAGTTAAAACATAGATAAAAATGGTACTGAGCATGCAGATTATGAAAAATTGTAATTCACAAATGCTGTGAATTTAAATCAAATTGGGACAAAACCATTCAGTTTATTTATTTGCAATTTTTTACCAGGTAAATCCCACAGAGATCAAAGATTCATTTTGCAACGGCYGCCTGAGCCTGAAGGCCTGAAGGGTCTAGATCCTCGGCTATTGAGAAACGATTTCTTSTAATTGGATCTGATTTAGTCAATCACTAACTTTTGGCTAAAATGTATGTGGTGAACCAGCTCGACCCTGAAYGAAGCTAAGAAGCTAACCGAAAATTYCGTGCGCTGTAAACTACCATCCCCTACTGGAAAGAARGAGACGTACCGAGCCAAACGAGATGGCTGTAAATGAGTGCTGCAGGCTTTGTGAGACACATTTCATTTCATTTGGAAGCCACGCACTGGCTTCATTCACTTCCTCCACTGTTGCCTAATTAAAGAGTAACTTACCCCAAAATTAACTTTTTTTAGCTGATAAACTGTCTAGAATGTGTCTAAAATGTTATATAGTACTGTTTCTGTGC